GAAATTTATTTCAAAACAGTTTTTCATGAAAAAAGAAATGTCCACACCCAGTAAGTGTGCTTTTCTCTGAAGACTTTTCTTTTTATCCAGTTCTTAAACTAATCACGACATTCAAACCATACCAGACATACCTACAAGGACATGGTGTGTAAACAGTTCTTACATTTATTTATTCTACATTCCTCACAGTTAATTTACTGGTTTACTTTGCTGGGAAATATTTTAGGAAGTAGTTTAACTTTTTTTTCTTTTTCTTTTCTGAGGAATGCCTCATAGTGCAGATGATCCAACCACAGGTCCAGGAAAGTTTGGATCAAATGTGGTGCAAATCATTGCTTTCAGTTTCCACTTGTTACTTTTTTATTCTTTAAACAAAGGTGTACTAAAGGAGATCTGCAGGAAAACAGTAGTTTGAACTTCTCTTCACTTGAACTGGTCAGCACCATCGGTACACAAGTGATGAGACCACCCAGGACCAGGATTTGGTCTTTGGGGAAAGAAAACAAGTCCACCTCAACCGCTTTATAGAGAGGACCTATTTTGAAGAACAGCCATTATGGAGACTGTGTGACCCCTAATAAGCATGCAAATGGACATGCATAGACACACAAATGGAGGATTAGACACACGTGCATGCGTGCACGCACACACACACAACTTATGGTTCCAGGCGTCTGTGTGTTCTCGCTGATAACAGCTGTATTTTTAGAGCCCAGAAGAGAATGGCAGTGTGGGACACAGCAGGGTTATCAGATGTACTTCATGGACTCAGAGGGGAACACTGATTAGGGGGAACAGCTAACCCTGAGAGAGAGAGAGAGAGAGAGAAGAAAAGGGAGAAAGAGAAAAGAGATTAGACCGCATACCAGAGTTCTTGTCATGAGAGGGTGATGCTATTTAAATAAATGTTCTCCAAACATCATAAACACAGTTCTGCTTGCAAATTAGCCACCGCAGCTTTATCAGTTGCTTAACTTGGTTTCCTTTCAACCATCATTTTG